ACTGATAATCTTTCAACCTGGTATCGTAATATAGGAAGTCAATCATGATGACAAGATCTTGTAAGTCTGCCATCAGTCTATATTTGCTTAGATATGCTAAAGGGGGAGTTAAGAATTGCTTGAAGATAAAAGGCTTTTTTGTTTAAAGCCAAAGTAGAATAAGGGGCTTAGAAAGAAAACTTGAGCCCCACCCAGAACTGCTGAAGGAACAGGAGTTTAACACTAGAAGGGAAGGTCTGCAGAGAAAGACTGGCTTTTGAAATGTTTGAGCAAGCAGTTTGCCATTGAGTGTATCCAAGCAGGGGAGTTATGTGCCCAGTCGAAGAAGCCCCCTCCAGGACTGACCGTTACAGGGAGTCCGTGAGCTTGATGTGCCCCCTGTGGCAACCATTGGGATCCACAAACTGAGTGGCAGTGGGGCGGGAGGCAGTGAAGAGATGGGGCTGATTCGGACATGTTCCGTTGGTACTGGTTGATGTGATCCACAGAGGCTAAAGATGAGAGAGCAGAGGAAGGACTGGCTGGCCTGAAGTTAAAAAAGTTGTGTGACTATTGAATTGAGCCTATGGGGATGGATTAGTTGTAGGGATCAACTGGTCTGAAGTGTGGGGAGTCGTGTGTGGATTCTCAAGCTTGCAGCTGAGACTGGAGGATGGTTCAGGCTGAGATGACCAGAACCAGATTAAATGAAGAGAAAGATGTTTGACTCTGTGAACTGGAACACACTGCTGCACTTTTGGTCATTGGCCTGCTATGGACTGAACTTTGCTTATGCATCCATATGGCTAAAAGTCCAACTAGAAATGAGTCATCACATCAAGCCTCAGCCCTGGGTGTTAGGGACAGGGGAATGAGAAAATAGATATTTAAGATGGAGGAAGATAGAAGCTTGAAGTGTCTAGTTTACAAACTCTTATGGGTGCATTCACAAAAAAAAAGGTCGGAAGTGGGGAAGTTAATCCTTCTCTGTATGGAAGATACAATGGCTAGAAGAGCCTGGGGGTGGCCTGTGTGGTCAATGAATCATTTAATATGACTTCTAGCCATTGACCCTAACCCCCAACTAAACAACCTTTCCCTGCGTGGGTCTGGTAAGGTGGGGGAAGATACTCATTTATATAGGATTCACCTGTGAGTATTGCAAACTGGATTCCCTGGAGAAGTGTCCTGCTGTGTATAAAATGATCCCCCTGAGAAACAAAAGGAGGGAGCTTATTACCAGCGAGAGCCAGGATTAGAGCGCACCCTCTGGACCTGAGATCCCTGCATAGTGACCCTCCTGGATGCAGTTGACAGCATGCATACCACCAAAGGAGCAGCAACAGAACCAGGAGGCCAGAGCATGGAACAGAGTGATGGACTTCCCAACCCACGGAACTAGTAGAGTGTTTTTTGTGCAGGAGGCTGGCTTACTGGAATGAGGTGCTTCTAGGCCAGTGGTTCTCAACCTTCCTAATGCAGTTTCTCATGTTGTGGTGACCCCCCTCCCCCCCCAAAGCTATAAAATTATTTTCATTGCTACTTCATGACTAATTTTGCTACTGTTATGAATCGGGCGACCCGCCCCCCCAAAGGGTCGTTCCACCCCCAAAGGGGTCAAGATCCACAGGTTGAGAACCACTGCTCCTGGCACTTAATTGGGGAAGTTGGATTTGGTGATCGAAGAAAGTGGAGCTGAGTGTCTTCAGGCTGAGGCGTACTGGGGTGGGCTGTCTCTGGGCACCTCATTCAGAGAGTTGGGTTTACTGACCAATGGAGCGTGAGTGCCTTCAGGGTGAGGCTTACAGCAGAGAGGTGTGCCCCTTTGGGCATTTATTAGCTGATCTGGAACTGTATATCATGTCCTGGTAAACAACTACCCTGAGCATTTCTCACTGGCATTACAATGTGTTAACTTCCTCAGTAAACCCTTTAATCGTGAATTTTGTCTGGTGAGTTTCTATGTAGCCATTATAAGGGATATTAGACACTAGAGAGATAAACTAAAGAATATTAATTAGTGCAACACAGTTCCAATCTCCCCATATTCTCATCAGCATTTCTTGTTTTGTCGATACCAGTTTTGCTCTGGGTTAGTTGGTATCTCATTATGGATTTGATTTGCATTTCTTTACTAGCTAATGTTCGTAATCATCATTTCATGTGTTTGTTGTCTACTTGAATTTTCTCTTTGATGAATGTTCTATGTTCATATCGTTTATGCATTTTTATTGGGATATTTGTTTTTTGAGTGGTAGAAGCTTTATTTATATTTTAGATATTTGGTTTTTATCAGATATGCTTTTTCTGAAGCTTTTCCCAAATCTATAGCTTATCTTTATATTCTTTAAATAAGCAAAATTTAATTGTTATGCGCTTCTAATGATCTAATCTGTCTTCTGTTTGTTCATTTTTAATTGCATGTGATAATCCAGCATTTAAATAAAATTAGATCCCATAGTTTTAGGCAATTGGCTTTATTTTCACGAATTATTTTTTAAGTATAAAACCAGGTAGATTATATCTAGTCATCAGTTGCACATATTAAGGGAAAAAATCTTTACCTAAACAATTTATGATCGAGAATTATGACCTTGAGAGAGAGAGTCTTATAAATGCTGTTCATTACTAAATGAGATAGGTAAGTAAACAGAGCTTATTTCTGAACTTCTGTTTTGAGAGTGAGTTCTCTAAGCAACTGCCATGCTCAGATTTTGCAGGGATACTAGATGGCTGTGTTAGACCTCTCAGAAGTCAGTGGTGTGGGCATGTCAGGGGCTTGAAGTGGTCATACGGAACCCAGCTACACAAACTCAGTAAATACCAGCAGATCATACAGCAGCAGAATAGAAATAATTTCTGTCCATCTATCCTCCTTTCCTAGTTGTTATTGAAAATATATGCTTATTTTTAAAAAGATGTTTGAAGGTACATTAATATATCAAATTTACTTGAAAAGTAAATACTGTTGAGGGCCTAGAATTATAGAATCTTGGGTCCCATTGCCAGTTTTCTCACTGTCTACTATCCTTATTGTAAGATGGGATCAACAATGTCTACTTTACAAATTCGTTTGAAGTTCATTGACATTTCTTTTTAGTGGCTGACTGTAGAGTTGCCCCAGACGCCTAGTGACCCCAGTCCAGGATGGGATTGGACCAATGTGATTCCTGTCTTAGTGTTTCATCACTGCTGAAACCTGTTTAGCATCAGAGCAACGCAGAAGCCTGAACCGAAGAGTGGTCACAGGTTCACAGTGCGTTGGCTGTGAATAGCAGTGAATAATTTTGGTGGTGGTGGTTGTTTCTATTTTATCTAGTTGCTGCTTCAGTAAACTAGGGAACATGGGAACCCTTCTGAGTTTCTTAAGAAAGAATATCAAATTAGGGAACAAATTCTTGTGGTTTTGAACTTGGAGATGTGGCATTGTATGAATTTGACTTGCTTGCTTTTTTATTTTATAGCCCAGTAAGAGTTAACACTTGAAATAATGAGTAAGTGCATATCCGTTTTATTTTTCTAGGCAAATAACTTTTTTTTAAAACATTTTATTAGGGGTTCATACAACTGTTACCGCAATCCATACACACATCAATTGTGTAAAGCGCATTTGTACATCATTCTCAAAACATTTTCTCTCCACTTAAACCCCCGGCATTAGGTCCTCATTTTTCCCCCCCCTCCCCCCGCGCCCCCCTCCCTCATGAGCCCCTGATAGTTTATAAATTGGTATTTTGTCATATCTTGCCATGTCCGACGTCTCCCTTCACCCACTTTTCGGTTGTCTGTCCCCCAGGGAGGAGGTCACATATAGTTCCCTGCAATCGGTTCCCTCTTTCCTACCCACTCTCCCTTTACCCTCCCTGTTTCGCCACTCACACCACTGGGCCTGTAGGGCTCATCCGCCCTGGATTCCTTGTATTTTCAGTTCTTATCTGTACCAGTGTACGTCCTCTGGTCTAGCCAGACTTGCAAGGTCGAATTCGAGTCATGGTAGTGGGAGCGGGGAGGAAACATTTAGGAACTAGTATTTCTCATCGTTGTTACATTGCACCCTGACTGGCTCATCTCCTCCCCGAGATCCCTCTGCAAGGGGATCTCCAGTGGCCTACTAATGGGCATTGGATCTCCACTCGGCACTCCCCCCATCATTCACTATGGTAAGATTTTTTGTTCTGATGATGCCTTATACCTGATCCCTTCAAACCTCGTGGTTGCATAGTCTAGGCAAATAACTTAAAGTTACTACATTTGGTCACCTAAAGCAAACTATTCTAATTTGCTTCATGCCAGAGTTGAAGCCTATTCATTTCTGCTTTCAAGGGAAATTAATGATGGTCTAACATTGTATTTGTTTTTTAGGTTTTTATAAACTAGCTCTGTTATTATAATTTTTAATTATAATAATTTCTTGTGTTTGTGTTAAAAATACAATGTATGTCAAGATATTACTGTCTTCACTTTTATTTGGTTAAATTCTCATCTGTTAGAGCAGGGGTGGAGAACATTTTTTCTGCCAAGTGCCATTTGGATATGTTTAACATCGTTCACAGGCCATACAAAATTATTCACATAAATATTAGCTTGCTGTATTTAGCCAAACAGTTCATCAACTCACCCCCAGTGTCATGATGGGAACTGCTTCTCTGACCCAGATTCAGATATAGACTGAGTCTGGCTTCATGATGTGAGCCCAGGTGATGGTCACTATAGTCGATAGACTGAAATAAGTCAAGCTCGCCGCCATTGAGTTGATCGCAATTCATAGCAGACACCAGATACAGCACTCTTTCTTGTTCTTCTTGTTGGTCTCCTCTGCCCAAACTGAAAGGTTCTGGGTGGAGACTTCCGGTCTCTAACATTTTGAGCATTTGGTTGCTCTAGCTCAGACTAGAGATAACATAACCAAAAAGGGCAATTTGCGTCAATAAATGCAAAAGCAGTGCATGCCTGAGCAAAAAAGTAGGATTTTATTAATTTCATGCTCATTGTGTTTCTTCTATATTCAGAACTGGTGGGGAATGGCAGGACTTGGATCAGGTAGGTGCTGTGCTTCACAGACCAACACAGGACACGGAGGAAGGAAGTTTCCCAAAATAAAATCGAGATACTGTTCCTAGAATAAAGGGAAAGGATGCTTGTTAGGCAAGAGAACATTGTACTCTAATTAGCGTTTATCACCCTGATGTTTATTTTCCACCTCGTTCATAGAAAAGCCAGGTACAGGGACAGAAACACTAAGCTTCTTAATCCAAATTTCCAAAAATGTACATTGACTTGTTGATTGCTTTATTAAACCAAATGAAATACCATTAAAATGAACCTTTTGTAATTGCAGAGGTAGCTTACCACCCACCCACTGCCATTGTGTAGATTCCTATATAGGGTTTCCAAGACTGTAAATCTCAACAGGAGAGAATAATTCCATCTTTCTCAGAATTCCTACACATCTCATGGTCTTCCCCCTTTTGTCACTTCACTTGGAGGCACAGCCTAGTATTCCTTTGTATTAGTATAGTAAGTTTTTCTTTATTTTCTTTGTTTTAATTTAAACATATTTTTATTAATTTTTTTCTTTAATTAACATTGATACATTGTTATTTGCCTACCGTCCATATTTTGCTCAGATTTCTTTTTTAGAAATGCCCCTGCTGTTCCAGGATGCCATGTCAGACACCTTGCATATAGTCATCTTGTCGCATTAGCTCCTCGTGGCTGATAGTTTCTCAACGCCCCTTATTTTGGATGACCTTGGTAGTTTTGAAAGAGTACTGGTTGGTTGTAGAATGTCCCTTAATTTGGATTTGATATGTAAGACTAAGGCAAACAGAGATAGAAATGTGCAGAGGTACTGAACAGCTTTGTCCATTGGGGTGGCCACTGGTGCGTTTTCAGTGCCTTTGACATTGGGGGTGGGGGTGGGACTCATTCCAGCACGCTGTCAGATAATAATCCGGTGATCCTTAGAGTTTTCACTGCCTCGAAAAGGGCATTATGTTTGGTAAAGTTGACGATCGATCTGAGAACATAAGATGGATTAACACAATAGTCGTAACCATGGACTCTTGGTGATCTCTTTTGTTGTGATGTCTAAAGTAGGCAAGTCAAAGTCATGTCATCCTTTCAGAAACACTTTGCTTATATTTATTCTCAAACAAATGTGTCCGTTCCGCTGGCAGTGCACAGTAGATTCCGCATTCTTCACCAATACCAACGCCAGCTTGAAGGCACCACGTCTTTCTCTGTTTCGTTCTTTGATTCTCATATGCCATGAACAAGAGCCTGGTTCTGTCTGTCTGCTTCCATAATGATTATAGCCTTGGAAAATCTATGGGGCAGTTCTACTCTGTACTAAGGGGTCGCTGTGAATTGCCATCAAGTCATAGGCAGTGGGTGGGTCATCATACATCAGACACATCCTAGTCATCCAAATGACATCTGTGCTTTGTAGTCAATCAGGGAAAACAGTGGTAGGTTAGGCAGCTAGTTTTATGTTTTTTGGCCACATAGCAGGAATAGCTAGAGCTGTGTTGAAGATGACTGCCTTACACAACCAAATACAACTTGTTTACACCACTTCATAATTGGGATGGTGGTGTTTTGTTTTTTTTTTTTGGTGGTGTTTTATTTAAGAAGTCTTTTATAGTTGTTAAAATCCCAAAGTGTTAGTCCCGCTTTTCTTTTTAACCATCTAGCTAGTGGGACATTTAAAAATACAAAACTGTATTAAGGAGCTTCAAGGTAAACGATTTCATTCAAATCAAGTTTGCTTCCTGTAAGTGACACTGTGTTTTGCTTCCTTTGCAGCCTTCATCCAGTCGGAGAGTATAATAGAAGTCCTGCGTTTTGGTGATGGAGGGCTACTGCAGGTAATTGTTGTCTGAAGTTGACTTACTGCTGTGTACAGTACAGAATACTACCTGGTTATTGTGCTTTCTCTTTAAAATGTCACTGAACTGCTAACCACAAGGGTGATGGTTCGAACCCACCCAGCAGTTCTGTGGGAGAAAGGCCTAGCAGTGTGCTCCCATAAAGGCAACAGCCTCAGAAACCCTGCGGGAGCAGTTCTACTTTGTCACAGGGTTGCTGTGAGTTGAAAATTGACATTCCCTAAGACCAAAACCAAACTTACTGCCACCCAGTCATTTCTGACTCAGAGCGACCCAATGGGACTGGGTAGAACTGCCCCTGTGAGTTTCCTCGACTGTAAATCTTTGTGGGAGTAGAGAGCCTCATCTGGTGGTTTCAAATTGCTTACCCAACGTTAGTAGACACTAACGCTACTAGGGCTCCTCTTGACAGCACCTACCAACCATTTATAAACAGGTCAATGAGCAATAATCACAACCTCCTTAAGCAATGTGAATGAAAGCTTTGTAAAGAAGCAAATCATTACTCTATCACCAATGTGTGCCTTGGATCTGGGGAATACAGAGAGGTGTTAGGGTTTTGAGAATGTCAGTGACAAGGTCAGATAAGGAGGCTATGGAATCTATCCAAATAGGGAACCAGTGGCTAACAGGTTGAATTCTGGGTGTTAGACCTTGAAATATCTGTGACACTCAGTTCCTGCCAGACATTGCCAAATGCCCTTGGAGAGGAAAGGGGTAACTTCTCATTGAGAGCCACTGGTTTACAGGTGATGTTTAGTAATCAGTATTTTAGCACAGATCTCACATAGCTATTTTTGCAGGGCTGTCCATTAGATTGGAAGAGTAGTACATTTTTCTTTCATGGAACCTATTTGAGGATAATCGAGATGCTTTATGTGCGAACTGTGCCTGGGTTGATCTGGAATCTGGAGTGTGTCTGGTAGGTTAGATGAGTATCCTAAAGAAGCATGGAATTTGAATTATAAGTGGAAAAGAAGCTATGATTGTCTACACTAGATTGGGAAAGTCAAAAGATCACTTATACTAAGCAAAAATTGCCAACTTAAACTTGGTGTTGAAGATTGTGATACACACACAGATATATATGTATATATATTTGCTAGAAGGTGCAAACAGGAGTTTCATCAGGGTGCTTCGTACTGCCCTTAGACCCTGGTGTCTGGGCATGAATTAATAAAATTCCAAAGTCCCTGCCATTCTGATGGAGAAATGTGAAATCTCTCGTTTAGGGATTGCTTCACTATCTAGTGAGACTGATAATGTTTTTTCATATGACTATTGGCCATTTATGGTTTGTTCTTACGCTTTGCATATATTTTAATCACAATATTCTTTTTTATCTTTCTTATTCCATATCTTTTTTCTGTTGATTTATTAAAGCTTTACATAACTTTTTATAATAAGACAATATTATAACGTGCTGGCTCTTTTTAGCTATTTTAAGTTTTGTTTTTTTAAGCTTTATTGTATATTAAGTGAAGGTTTACAGAGCAAATCTTTTATTTTATTACAAGTTTTATTGACATGTAATTCACGTATCATACAATTCAGCAATTTAAATATATTAGTTGTGAATTTATCACCACAGCCAATTTTAGGGCATTTTCTTCATTTCTGTATCCATTATTACTAGCTCCCCATTTCCTTTTAACCTCCTCTTTCATAACTCTTAAGAAACTATTAGTCTAGTTGCTGTCTCTGTAGATTACCTAAGTTTCATATAAAAATTATTCCAAAATAAGACAACAAAATAAAACACAGAAAACCCTCAATCCAAAAGATATCAGAAAGAAATAAAAATTACAAGTTAAAAATGGGTCAAAATAAAATTTAAAACTTGGTCAAAAGGGAAAACAAATGGTAAGGTGGTATATTTTAACCCGCAGTAATCTACTTTCCATTGCAGTGTCGGGACAAGACTATTCACATCTTTAATCAACAAATTGAGGGAATTCGGTGATGGCTTACTCTATGTAGGAACTCTGTAAATGTGTTTTGGGCTTTCACTGTCATCCATAGACTTCTCCAAACCAGGTACTCAGAAGTTAGACTCTAATACAGTCTCCCTTCTGTTCTTGCATTTAAAAAAAATTTATAATTCATTTTATTGAAGGCTCTTACAGCTCTTATAACAATCCATGCATTAGTTCTATCAAGCACATTTGTACATATGTTGCCATCATCAATTTCAAAATATTTTCTTTCGTTTTAAGCCTTTGGTATCAACTACTCTTCTCCCCTCCCCCCCCGACCCTCCCAACCTCGTTAACCCTTGATAAATTATAAATTATTATTTTCATATTTTATACCACCTGCTGTCTCCTTTGATCTGCGTTACTGTTGTTTATCCCCAGGGTGGGTGGGGGTTAGTTATATGTCATTGTGGTTGGTTCCCCATTTCTCCCCCTTCTCCCCCTGTCCCGCACCCTCCCCCTACCCTCATGGTATCGCCACTCCCACTGCTGTTCCTGAGGGGTTTATCTGCTCTAGATTCCATGTGTCGAGAGCCCTTATCTGTACTGGTGTACATACTCCAGTCTAGCTGGATTTGTAAGGTAGAACTGGGGTCATGATAATAGGGGGGAGGAAGTATTAAAAAACTAGAGGAATGTAGTGTGAAGTTCCGTCAGTGCTTTGCTGCACCCCGGCTGTCTTGTTCTTTCCTTGTGACCCTTCTGTGGGGGAATGTCCAGTTATCTACAGATGGGCTTTGGGTCTCCAATCCTACCCCCATCATTTGTATCGATATATTTGTTTGTTTGGGGTCTTCTGATGCTTGATACCTTATCCCATCGACACTTCATGATAACACAGGCTGGTGTGCTTCCCTGCTAGATGGCCGCTTGTTTAGCCTCAAGCCTTTATCTATATCTATTAAAAGATGCTATATCTTTTAATAGCCGGGCACCATCGGCTTTCTTCACATTTGCTTATGCTGCACCCATTTTGTCTTGAGCTATCATGTCGGGCAGCTAAGCATCTCATCTTGCATTTTATTGTAATACTCCTTTAAACTCACTGGCTAGTATGCTCCCTCTGTGTGGACTTAACTGGCTGCTTGTTTGAAGATAAGCCTGTAGGCCTTCAATTCTTTGTGAGTAGGACCATCTGATTTCTTTCTTCACCATACTTTGCTATAGCACCGATAACTTCACGGATCACCTCATAAAAACCAATTTTAAGCAGGACCACACATAAGAACTAATTGTTCTTAGATTTTGGCTTACAACTTTGTGTGAGCTTAAAAATCCATTTGTATAGTTTATATATATATCCCTGATCTACTTCAGAGACAACATTATTAGCTTCTTGAGAAATAATATAAATAATCTCCATGGACTATTTGGTAATTGTAAAAATAGTATCATTACTCTAGCCCAGGGGTTGGCAAACCGGCTCTTAGCATCTGTCACTTGTTTAAAAATTTAAAGGTTATTATTCAGATATTGGTGATTTCATTTGTTTGTAAGAATCTATTTATTGCTCTCTGATAGTTTTTAAATTGTTGTGAGGGACAAGATTGGCTTGTCTGTCACAAATGGTTGCCATCCCCTTTTTTTAGCCAATGGGATAAAATTTAAAATACTTTTAAAACAAGAAATTATATGTGTATAAGAAAGCTTTTGGGATTTAAAATACATGAATTGTTAACTTGAACATATTAAAATTTTAAGTGACCAAACACTGTTTAAGTAAACAGTGAGGGTTGGACACAAGGCACAAATTGTACTAACACTTGTCCACTAAGGCAAAACTATACCAGCAGGACTAAGACAGTGTTATAAAAAGCAAAGAGTATAAAAATAGCACGAGCCAGTCAGGGTGCAGTATAGCACCGATGAAACATGCAACTTTCCTCTAGTTTTTTAATGCTTCCTTCCTCCCACTGTCATGATCCCAATTCTACCTTACAAATCTGGCTAGACCAGAGGATGTACACTGGTACAGATAAGAGCTGGAAACACAGGGAATCCTGGACAGATAAACTTCTCAGGATCTATATACTTTTTTCTATTAAATTGGCATTCTATGATGCTCACCTTCCCGACACAACCGCTGAAGACAAAGCCGGTGAATAAGCAAATGTGGTGAAGAAAGCTGATGGTGCCCGGCTATCAAAAGATATAGCGTCTGGGGTCTTAAAAGCTTGAAGGTAAACAAGTGGCCATCTAGCTCAGAAGCAACAAAGCCCACATGGAACAACATACAACCTGTGTGATCACGAGGTGTCGAACGGATCACTGAAGACAAATGGGTGCATAAGCAAATGTGGCGAAGAAAGCTGATGGTGCCCGGCTATCAAACAGTATAGCGTCTGGGGTCTTAAAGGCTTGAAGGTAATCAAGCGGCCATCAAGCTCAGAAGCAACAAAGCCCACATGGAAGAAGCACACCAGCCTATGCAACCATGAGGTGTCGAAGGGATCAGGTATAAGGCATCATCAGAACAAAAAATCTTACCATAGTGAATGATGGGGGGAGTGCGGAGTGGAGATCCAAAGCCCATCAGTAGGCCATTGGAGATCCCCTTGCAGAGGGGTCTCGGGGAGGAGATGAGCCAGTCAGGGTGCGATGTAACAACGATGAGAAATACAACTTTCCTCTAGTTCCTAAATGTTTCCTCCCCGCTCCCACTACCATGACTCGAATTCGACCTTGCAAGTCTGGCTAGACCAGAGGATGTACACTGGTACAGATAGGAACTGAAAATACAGGGAATGCAGGGCGGATGAGCCCTCCAGGACCAGTGGTGTGAGTGGCGAAACAGGGAGGGTAAAGGGAGAATGGGTAGGAAAGAGGGAACCGGTTACAAGGAACTGTATGTGACCTCCTCCCTGGGGGACAGACAACCGAAAAGTGGGTGAAGGGAGACGTCAGACAGGGCAAGATATGACAAAATACCCATTTATAAACTATCAAGGGCTCATGAGGGAGGGGCGAGCGGGGAGGGAGGGGAAAAATGAGGACCTAATGCCG